GCTGCTGCGAACTGCTGCGAATTTCCTCCTGTGAAGAATGGATCCGTTTGGTACCCGTGGGTAAATAGGCCTGTCAGTAGGGGGCTGGTCTGGGCAAGTAGTATTGCATGGATCTGGGCAGTGGGGCGGGTCAGTGCGTCGGCGATGTTCGAGGCTCCCTTTTTGTAGGTGACCGTGTAGTGAAAATTGGACTCGAGAAAATCGAGCCAGCGAATCTGTCGTGGGTTGAGGTGTGGCTGTGCGCGGAGGTACTGTAGTGATTTATGGTCTGTCGGTACTGTCACGTCTGCGCCGGTCAAGTAACAGCGCCACACTTTGAACGCGTGTATGATCGCAAGCATTTCGCGGTCGTGTATCAGGTAATTTTTCTCGGGCGGATGCAATTTTCGTGACTCGTATGCGATGGGTTGTAGGCCGTTGCCGAAGTCCTGTAGCAGTACGGCTCCGATGGCGATGTCGCTTGCGTCGGTAACTACTTCGAATGGGCGGTGTGGGTCGGCGATGCGCAGGACGGGCGGTGAACAGAGAACATTTTTCAGGGCAGAGAAGGTAGCATGCTCTTTCTCCCCCCACGTAAAAGCGACCCCCTTCCGTAACAAGTCCGTCAGCGGCGCTGTTAACCGTGCCATGTCGGGGACGAACCGACGCACGTAATTGACGAACCCCAAAAAGCTCTGTAGTTCCGTGATATTCGTCAGGGGGTGCCAGGCTTTGACCGTGTCTAACTTCTTGGGGTCAATTTTGACCCCAGCCTCCGAAATAACGTGCCCCAAAAACTCTAGCCAGTCCTGAAAAAACTCGCACTTGGAACCCTTTGTCAGGAGCTGATGCTCGTCTAAAATCTTAAACACTGCTTCCAGATCTGCTAAGTGCTGCTGCTTGTCGCGACTGTAGACGAGGATTTCGTCGAGGTAAAATATCACGCATTTATTTAAAAGTGGCCTAAACGCTTCGTTCATGGTCATTTGAAATGTCGCTAGTGCGTTGGTCAGCCCGAAAGGCATCACGGTGTATTCGAATGACGCGTACCTAGTCCGGAAAGCTGTTTTGGCGCAGTCCGATGGTTCGACCCTAATCTGATGGTAACCTCCCCGTAAATCTATTTTCAAGAAAACCCGTGTTGTTCGCAGTTGGTCGATCAGTTCGTCGGCGCGGGGAATGGGGTACCGCGACTTGACTGTTACCCTGTTGAGCGCTCGGTAAGCGATGCACATGTGAAACCCTCCGTCTTTTTTTGGCGTGAACAGTATCGGTGCAGCGAACGGTGACGAGCTCGGTCGGATGAATTTCTTCGCTAATAAGTAATCTAACTGCTTCCTCAGTTCGTCGAGCTCGGGTTGTGTCAGTCTGAACTGTCGCTGTACAGTTGGCTGTGCCCCCGGTTCTAATTCTATTCGGTGGTCATGTGCTCGCTGAGGTGGCAGTCCTTCCGGTAAGTCGTCGGGAAAAATCCCGGGGTATCGTTTCAACAGTTCCTGTAGTTCGGGCGGTACTACTGCCAGCAGTTTCTTGAAATCACTCGGCAGCTCTGCTCCCTCTACCACTGAAATGTCTACTGCGTACACGTCAGCTCCAGCAGCGACAGCCCGTTTCATGGTGACGGCGTTGACGTGTACCGTTGAAGACTCGGGCGACTGCCAGCGAGGTAGCTCAACCAAGTTACCGCTACTTCGCACAGTGCAGCTACCCGTCGTCCAGTCAATTCGCGGGTTATACCGTCGCAGCCAATCACGTCCCAGTAAAATGTCGTGCCCATCGAGTGTCATCGCGAGCATTTCCTGTGTAAATCCGAAATTTCCCCCGTAGCGGACTTTGACTCTCTCCACCTTTTCTCGTATGGCCAGTGGCGTGCCGTCAATTAAGCGTGCATCTATCTCAGGTAAACAACGACTAATTGTCAGTTGCAGTTTGCGTGCGGTTGCGGTATTAACTAAACTGTGACTTGCTCCTCCGTCGATAAAAATCTTCACTGCTGCTCCCTGTATTTTCCCGTGGATCAGTACTGGGCAATCCGTCGCTGTACCCTCCTTATTCGTCCGAGCCCGATCGATAGCATGAATCGGTACTGTGACTCGGTGAGGGTCGGTGGGGTTGGGCGAGCAGGCAGTCTCGTCAGTAGTTGGCCCGATTCCTACTGACTGCTGGCGTTTCCCTGCCTTGGAGACTCCTTCCCCTGCTCTGCTCCGTGGCGCCTCAGCTCCTCTGGGCATTCACTCTTGCGATGGCCCAGCCTATTGCAAGCAAAGCAGCGCCCCTTAAACGGCGCGGTAGCTGCATTCGTCGCAACGGCATGTACGGTGGCGTGCTCGATCGGTCCCCGAGGACGATGTCCGTAGTAGGACCCCGGTCTCGGACGACGCAAAATGTCGATTTTCTCGGCGAGCGCGAGAATCTCGTTGAAGTTCGAGAGCCCGCATAGCATGATCTCGTGCGAGATGTCCGGCTTCAGCCCTCCAACGTAACGGTCCACCCGCTCCGCTTCGTGCATGTAGCCGACTTGCTCGCATAATGCGAGAAAACCACTCGTGTAGTCTTGAACCGACCCGAGCTGCCGCCAAGTACGCAGTCTCTGACGCGCCGAAATAGAAGCCGCGATCGGCTCGAAGCGCGCCCGAAGCCCTACGCACCACGCATCCCACGTGTTGTATTGGGCGGTTTCGCAGAATGAACTCCAAGTGACAGCTGGACCCGTGGGCCCTTCCTCTTGCGACGGTGGCTCATAGGCGCGTGGCGACGTCACGATGACTCGCCACCAGTCCATGGCGGGGCCCCTCAGCAGCGAGACGGCATATCGGATCTTCGCTGCGTCCGACTCGACGTAATTCGCGTCGAAGAAGACGTTCATCGTGAAGACCCACGATTGAACCGTCGGACCTCCACGCTGGCTCGGGTCGAAGCAGGGCGGGCGTTGCGGCTTGAGTGGCATTGGTGCCATAATGGCATGTTCACCACTTGTCGCCGCGAACTCCACGTGCCGACGGGCTTCACGAGGCTCCCGCGGGCTTGGTGCGACCCTGTTTCCCCCCATGCCAGGCATCGGTTGGGCGACGCCATCACTGACTGCACCTGAGCGCTGTCCCACGCTGTCGTGTTGTGTTGGTGTGCCGGACGAAATGACGATCGGCTCGTCCGATTGTGCAGATGCATTTGTCGGTGCGTGTGGTGGCGCTGGAGTATTCACCGTGGATTGCTGACGCGCGGAGTCACGTTCCGCTGTCAGCGTCGCAATTTCGAGCGCCGATTCTTCAACTTGGCGCACCAGACGGTGAAGTTGTTCCCGTGTCAACGTCGCGAGCGTGAATTCGGCCATGGCGGGGGTGTCGGGCAAGCTCAGCGAGAGCCTCTGTCGTGGCCGTGCGTGCTTACGAGAGAGCACTACGAGCAGCGGTGCTGTGTCGCTGAGAGACGTCTACCTCCCCCCAAAAAATTGAGATAGTGAGGAAGCGAAGGTGTGGGTGCGGTCCGAGAAGCAGGGCTAACTTTAGTGCCAGAGCCTGTCTGACAGTAAGACCAGGTCCTGAGTCCTTGTCTGATGGTCAGACGAAAGTTGAAGCCTAGTCTTACGTTTCAGACGAATAAAAAGCACTTGTCACAGCCTTCAGACGGAATTAGATAGTTAGTCTTATTGCAAGCTGATTTCCTAGCCTACGTAGTTTCTATACTAAAGGTTATGTAACGACATCCTTTCCTAAGAAGAATCACTTGCACTACTGCTGTCACTGTCATCACTACCACTGCCACTGTCACCACTACCACTGCCACTCTCAGAGGTTTCAACAACTGTGGCTCTGGATTTGCCCTTCCTCCAGGTAGGCAGCTCCCACGCAGCTTCTTCTGCAGCCCTCTCTCTCTCCTTTGATGCAACCTCTTCTGCCTCTCTCCGTGCGCGTGTAGCTGCTTCTGCTGCTGCTGATGCTGCAGCGCGCTTCTTCAGGTGATGGGACCGCGATCGCTTCACCGGGCGTGATCCTTCAGCCATGACCACCTCTCGAGCCGGCCGCCTCTTCTTGCTGGCATACCACCTATCCACAAGCTCCTCTGTGTTCAGCTCGTAATCCAAAAGGGACACCGTCATCAGGTCGCCCAGTGTCGTGTCGCACAAGCTGCCCCGCACCCAGCTTTTGATGATGTTCTGGCGGCTGAAGCCGCGCTCACACTCAACAGTGCTGAGTGGTAGCACAGCAACAGCTATCCACAGGCGGCCGAGGTTCGGATAGGCTGACTCCCATTCCGGCGTTGAGAGCATCTGCGACAGGCTGTCGTGGAAGGACAGGTCTTCGTGGTGATGGGAGAGGATTGTCGTGAAGCTGGTGAGCTCCTTGGCGGCTTTGCCCCAGTCAACACCTGATGGTGAGGGGTAGGGTAGGGTGTGGGACATCGGATATCATTGCAGAGAGTCAATTCTTGGCACGGCAGCAATAACGCAACAAGTAAAAACGCAGGTTTAAAAACAAACCGCTTACCGGGGAGGGTGTCTGGATGGTTGGGCTTCTTCTTAAACAGGTTGCGCAGCGACTCGAGCCATTCGGGAAAACGACGCGCTCTCTTAGCGCGCGAACGAGGGTACCATCCCTGCCGAAACAGACGGGCCCCGTCCAACGACTTGAGACTCTTCATGCGATCCTCAATGAAGAACACAGCCCTCCCAGCGAACTTAGATGCTGCCTCCACGCACGACGCCAGGTCGCCCCCAAACTTCTCCTTCCCGATCAGGTCCTCGTGCAGCAAGTAGGTGTGAGTCACGGGTTCTCCCGCGGTGTCGATGCTTTCGACCTTCACTTCGCGTTGCTCAGTGCTCCCGTGGTTCTTCAGGAACGTCGCAAGACGACCACTGTTGTCGCCAAAGGTGGAGCCGTACTTCACATAGCGACTTGTCAAGATCAACGTGGTGTGCTGCACCATCGGCCGAACCTGCGTCGCATCAAGCTGCACATATTAAAGAGAAACAGAATTAGTCTCGGCTCACGGAAAGAAAGAATGCAAGGTGTAACTACACGTCCTTACCTGTCGTCGCTGTTCAGCTCCTGAAGCATGTCAACCAGAAAGAAGAGGAAAAACTGAAACTTGAGACTGGTAACAAGAGTGTACGTTGTCTTGTCGTACTCATGCAGCAGGACAACGGCAGCAGGCAGGACGTCTGCAAAGCGCTGGATGTCGTCCCCGCGCGACAGCCAGCGGACGTCCTTAATGCCTTGCATCTCCAGGTTGGTCTCTGTGATGACCTCCTGCAGCTTCTTGAATCGCGCATGCTGCACTATGCTGCGGCCGAGAATGTCCGCGAAAGACCGGACGACTTTGTCGACGACATTGAACTCGGGAAATTCTTCAGCCGCATCCTTAGCAGCCAGAGCCTCCCTGCAGTTATAACACGAGTAGGATTAGTCGGAGGACAGCACATGTCAGATACATCACAACAGTAAAAACAACACACTACCTGTGGGCCACGCAGTGGCACGGCACAATATGCGGCACCCGCGTTCGTAATCGCGCCACCAAGCCTGTCTGACCGCCCGTCATCACGCTCGCGCCGTCCGTGGTCATGCCGCTGATCCTTGTCAGTTCGAGGCCGTAAGCAGCAAGGTGTGTCAACAGGACCGCCTCAAGCGACCTGGCGTCGCACTTCTCAACGGACAAGTTCGCGAAGAACTCGGTAACCACCACCGTGCCACAGAGAAACGTGGCATACACAATCATGTGTTTGCCACGCCTTCGGTCGGTGCTTTCATCAAGTTGGAGGCCAACGAAGGGACTGATGCTGATGTGCTGCATCTGCTTCGCCTTCAAGTAGCACACCAGCGTTTCGACCAACTGCTTGAAACCATACCTGCGTCAACGAGGACACAAAAGAAATGGTAAGTAAGGGGTATTCAGAAACCACAATGATGTGAACATATAAACTCACGTTGAACAATAAGTCCCTTGGTCCTTGGCCGGCATATCTGGCGTCCCCATTTCTGCCATGAACTGCACGAGTGTCATGAACATGACAATGGGGGTGTCGGATTTGCAAAGGAAACGCACGGTGAGAAACAGCTGTATCAAACGCCGAGTTTCCGCACTCTTATCTCCAAAGATAGATGCCAGCCTCTTCTGCGGGGCTTCACGCTGCTCCAATCGGTCCTTCGCCTCCCGGTGCCGGATGCTCCACTGATGCTTCCTCATCGTCTGCTTCTGTATGTCGATGCCTCCCTCGCCCCGAGCGCCGTACTGTGACTCAGGATCCGCGTACACCATGCAGATCTTGCACCTCATGCAAGGTCGACCTTCGGCGGTGTCACCGATGATGAGCCAAGGGAAGTGGTGGCTCCACTGCTGCTTGGCTTTTAGCTGCAGCTCCTCTAGCGACAGAATCTTCGGTCCGGCATTCTCGGACCCGCGGCGCTCCCCTCCATCTTCCTTAGTTGTGGGATTCCCTGCAGAGGAAGGGCTTGGGCGTTTCGAAAACGGAAGCTTATTTTGCACAAATTTGGTCTTGCCAGTAAACCGCGGCGGGAGAAACGGAGAGCGGGATTGGAATGGATTTTTTCTAGCCGGAACAGATGATGCGACAGGTTGACCGGATGGCGAACCCCCATGGTGGCTTGATGTGGTTGGTGATCGCACGGGTGAAAATGGTATGAGCGGCTCGGCATCCATCTCAGCGAAAGGGTACGGCTGCTCGGCAGAATCGAGTTTCTCATTCTGACAGGCCGAAGGAGCAACAGCAGCAGCTGGGACTGGAGTAGGGGTGAAACCCCCCCCCGTAAGGAAATCCAAGCCAGTGCGTGGGCGGGGCAACGCACTGGAAGGAGGTGAAGCATGCAGAGTGGATGCTAGAGGGGCCTCTGTGCGGGGGTCTACTGCCATCTCGGTGGAACTATGCACCGACTGGCTCTAGCTCACGAGGGTAAGATGAAAGTCACCTAATGCTGTGGGGAGTGAGGGGGGACCGTCCGAACCGAGCCGCATGCATGAACGTCCTCTTCTCTGCTGGAAGCAGCCACGCCATCCATCCCTCGCTGACCCGACGCGCAGTGAGGGCTGTCGGTGTTGCAAATGCAGCCTTCTGCCGTGCGCTGGCACGAATATGCCAAACGAGCTGGCAAGATTCGTGCCAGCGGGGTGACTGCGGCGCAGTGACGTGCGGTGAACCGGTGGTGTTGTCACCGACCTCGGCAATGTACAGCCTGCCGGTGGCATCAAGGTAACGCGGCGGGTGGCTAGTCTCGTCCGTAACTGGCCAGGTGGGCAACTGGCCAGGTGGGGGAATTTGTCTGTTTCAGACGAAAAAAAACTCGATGTCTGCAGTCTCAGACGAATCGTATAAGGCTGTCTGACAAATCAGACGAATAAAAAGCGTTTCTCTTAAAAATCAGATGACATAAAATAGCTTGTCTACGGCATCAGACGAACCAGTAAAAAGGTGTTCAAATTCCAGAAATTCAGACACATAATTTCTGATAAAGTAAGCCCTGCCGAGAAGAGATCGTAGGCTCTGAATACCAAGTGTTACGAGTGCAATTGAGTGAGCGAGCGAGAATTGCACTATCGAAGCAAGAGTACAATGAGCGAAGGCATGAGCGAAGAATATATAGCGAAACTACAGTGGTAACGGCAATGGACTGTGGTTGTCGCGCGATGGGCCTGGGACTGAGGTTTGGGAAGATGTCGAAGCGGAGGCCCGGAGCGCGGGTTACCCGCCGAGCCGTGAGGTCGGGGTGCGATGTGCGAAAGTGGCGGGAGGGTTGTCGATGCGAGAGTTTGCGAGTGGTAACGGTGCTAACTGTGGTGCTACAGTGGTGTACGCGCTGAGCGTGGACGCGAAGTAAGGAAAAGGAAATTTCCTTACAGTGGCGCAGGAGTGAGTAGACGAAATACAGGATTTGTATCTGGCGGAGGGTCTAGGCGAATCAGAAACTGTACATAAGAAGTCTATGCTATGATGCAAGTCGCTACAACGTTTCATTACAGCAAACTGTACTGCGTGGGTTATTGAAGTTAAAGTCTTACAAAACCACATTCAAACTAAACACTATTCTGCAGCCCAGGTCAAACCTCACAAATTCACATTCATTAGTTGTACAGAAGTAATAGAGTATTGCAAACCAAAGGCACATCTAAGCCAGGTACCAAATAATACAGGCATATCCAAACCCTGTTGCAAGCTAAAGCATCACAACAGAAACAGCTGCTACACACATTCTCATAACCTCAATCCACAATCAGCATACTACGTAATACATAAATAAACCAGCAGCACAGAGAGTCCAACAAAAGGTCAACCAGAGTCAACCGTTTCACATTCCCAGAGCGTCACTAGGACCTAGCAGCAGTGGCAGGAGCACCAGCGCTGCCGCAGCCACCCATCCCCACTCACCCCCTTCCCTCCGCCCGGAACCTTCGGCATTACCTGGGGAAGGTCCTTCTGGTGCAGGCTCTCCTGCTACAAGGTCCGCAGACCCCCTTTTCCTCAATCCCAGTTGGTGGAAGGGGATGGGGAGAGCCAGTGTGGTGAGGGCTTTTCGAAACGAATCCAGAGGAGAGGTGGGGGAAGAGGGAGAGAGGGCGGCAGGAGACGCATCATCTGCTTTCAGGGACTGGGATTGGTCCGACCACCACCCGGGTTCTTCTCCTCCCTTCCCGTCCTTCTCTTTCCCTCCCTTCCTTTTGTGGCCTGAAGAGGCACTAACCGGGGCAGCGTAAACGGGCAGCGATTGGAACGGCCAATGGGAGGCCGCCACGGAGGCGAGGGCGGTTTGGCGGGAGGCTCGGAGAGACGAGGCTTGGGACTGGAGGGTGGTAACCATAGCAACCAGTGTTGCTGTGTCTGAGAGTTCTCCTGTGTACTCTCCTGCTGTTGCTCCTGCTGCCGCTGTGACTGCGGCTGCTGCTGCTATTGTGACTGCTGCTGCTGCTTGCTGGAAGGAGGAGAAAGCGGTGCTGCTTGGTTGTGTGGGGTGTTGGGTTGCCTTCTGGTGGAAGGAGGTGGGCAGAAAGAAACAGAAACGGAAGATGAAGAGCGTGGGGTGAGGTGTGGTGTGGCGACTGAAGCAAGGTGAATTGAGGTGAAGTGAGCTGTGTCTTGTAAGGAAGAAAGAATGGTAGAGGGAGAGGGAGAGGAAGAGGGAGAAGGACCCACCAAAGCACAAGAGCCAGTGCTGCTCTCATTACAAGTAGACTCGAAACACACACAAGAAAGACGCTTAGTAAGAGGGACCCACCAGAGCACCAAAGGAGGGAGAGCCTGCCCGAGAGCCACTGCTGCTTGCCTTCCCTTGAGCTGACACTCCTCGTCCCCCTACCCCTCCTCCCCCACTGCCTGACCCTCCAGGGAAGTCATCATTGTCATCATCCTTCTTCTCCTTCTCCTTCCCCTTTCCTGTTATCACGCCTTTCGAAGCAGCAGCACTAGCAGCTCCGTTACTAGAGGCATTGCTAGCAGCAGCAGCAGCATTTGAAGCAGTGAGCTCAGGAGCCTTGAGCACCCCAAGCCCTGCCCCCGACCGTTCGAATCCATTGACTTTTGACGAGCCAGGGACCTTCTTGATGCTGCTGGCCACTCGAGACGTCTCGTGGATCCTGCCACCACCATCAAAGCCACACTCGTCAGTATGGCCATTGACCACCACCACCACCACACTTCATCATCGTTACATCTTACAACCACTACCACTGTTGTCACAATGCATCTAAAAAACCGTGCAGGGCACAGATTTGAAGTGAGCCGGAAAGCAAAAAAAGAAAAGAAAAGAAGGGAAAGCAAATCAAGGGCAAGTAAACATGGGTTTCCCCCTCATAGTTTTCTTTCAGCTCGATTGTCAGCAGCCGCAGCCTCTCCACATCATCCGTAGACTTCCCAGACTCACCACCAAACACCCATCTCTCTCACACCCTTCCCTTCCGTCAAAACAACCCCCCAACCCCCCACATATACGTACTTTTCTTTCAGCTCCATGGTCAGCAGCTGCAGCCGCTCCACAGCATCCGTAGACTTGCCAGACTCCTTGCTCGCCCGCACCAACTCCCCCTGCAGCAACCCCACCTGGTGCCAACTCACCCTCATACCACAATACAAACCTTTCAACCCTTACAGCACTTACTTTTCTTTCAGCTCCATGGTCAGCAGCTGCAGCCGCTCCACAGCATCTGTAGACTTGCCAGACTCCTTGCTCGCCCGCACCAACTCCCCCTGCAGCAGCCCCACCTGGTGCGACAACCCCTCCACTTTCTTAAAAGTCTCTTTTAGCGCGCTCTTACTCGCGCCCTCCCTCTCCCTCAGCTCCACAGCCTGACGCAGGAAGAACCCCACCCGGTCCTGCGACGACTGAAGTTTCTCCCGGGCTGCCCGCTCCTTGCTTTCCAGCTGCCCGACCTGCGCCGCAAGCTCCCGCACCCGGGCCTTTTCCGCCTCCGCTTCTGCCCGCGCTGCCCGTTCGCGCTTCTCCAACGCTCGAATCTCCACCTCTAAAGCCGCCACTCTGTGTTTCGAGCTCGACCCTTCCCCTTTCCCTCCTCCTGAACCCCCCTGGGACCGAGACACAGCGTCAGCAGCAGCAGTCCCCTTCAGCCGAGCCACCTGCCGCATGAGGAACGCACTCCGTTCGCTCGCAGCAGCAGCGGCGTTGCGGGCCCCTTCAAGCTCACTGGACATGGCAGCCACTTGCGACTGCAGGCGGGCTATCAGCTGATCTGCTGCACCGCTCGCTGCTGCACCGGCAGCACTGCTGGCACCACCAGCAGCAGCAACAGCGGAAACAGCTCCAGCTGCTGCAGCTGCAGCAGTCTTCTGAGGCGTCTCCATGAGGGTATTCTCTCGGTCTTTCGTCTCGGCAGCAGCCAGAGCAGCAGCTAGTACCGCCTCTGCCTCCTCAGCCTCCCTCTTGGCTTTCCTCTCCCTCTCCTCCGCCACCCCCACCTGCTCCTCCAGCTCCTTAATCCTCTTCTCCGCCGCCCCAATCGCCGCCCGGCTCTCCTCCACCACCCGCTCCCTCTCCGCCACCTCAGCAGCCACCGCCGCCAGCCTGGCATCCCTTTCCGCCATGTCATCTCTTGCCGCCGCCAGCTCAGCACCCAGCCTCTCCAACTGCGCCTGCAGCATCCTCTCTCTCTCCTCCGCCGCACTCAACTCCTCCCTAGCAGCCATCAGCCTGTGCTCATCACTCTCATGCAAGAACACCTTCGCAGCATCCACCGCTTCTCGCTTCACCTCCATTTTCAACCCCTCCACCTGCTGCACCTGCCGCGTCAGCAGCTCAATCCGCTCACTCGCCACCGCCCACGCCTCCCGCATCAACTCGTCCTTCCTCCGGAGATTCTCTGCTTCAGTCACAGCAGCTTCAAGCCGGTCAGTCGCAGCGTGCATCGCTTCCTTCGCCGCTCGCTCCCTATCCCGCAGCCCTCTCATCACCCGGAAGAAAAATTTCACTCGCTCGTTGGCCGCTCCCAGCGCCTCCTGGGCCTTCCTCGCTTCTTTTTCTGCCCGTTCTGCCCGGTCTTCCAGTTTCACCATCAGGTCGTGATCCGCCGCCGCTTTCTCGGAAGCTTCCTCCAGCCGCGTCTCCATCTCGCCCATCCGTGCGGAGGCCGCGCGCTCCTTCTCAGAAAGTTCCTTCACCTGTTCGGCCAGTGCTTGCATTCGCTCCAAAGCCACCGCCGCTGCTTCCTTTGCTGCTGCTTCCATTTCTTCCATCTGCGCGATTCTGTTAGCTAAGTCAGCCGCCCGCTCCTCTGCTGCCTGTGCTTTCGCCTCTGCTGCTTCGTGGGCCGATAAAAGCTCCCTCTCTCGCTCCTGAAGGAGGGAAAGCTCCTGGGAAACTTCCGTGAGCTGGGAATGGAGTGCCGATTCTCGCTCCGCTGCTGCTGCTGCGGCTGCTTCGGCCTCGGCTGCTGCTGCAGCCACTGCTGCCGCCGTTGCTTCTGCCGACGCCGCCGCTGCAGCAGCAGCAGCTGCAGAATCTACTCCCAGGAACGCAGCAGCCTGCAACTCCTGCTGTTCCCTCTGCTCCTGCTGCTCCTTCTCACGCTGCTGCCTTTCTTCCTCCTGCTGCTGCTGTTGCTGCTGCTGGAAGAGGTTGAGGGCTTCGACCTGGGCGGTGAGCAGGGCTATGCGCTCGTGTGCTGCTGCTGCCTCCATGCGCGCTGCTGTCTCGCTCTCCCTCAGCTCGCTCACGTGCTGCATGAAGAATCGCACCTGCATGGAGGGAGGAGGGCGGAGCGGAAAGGGAGAGGGAAAAGGGCAAGGTTAACAGGTGTCGTTGCTGCAGCTGCTGTCTCGCTCTCCCTCAGCTCACTCATGTGCTGGAAGTAGAATCGCACCTGGGAGGCAGGAAGAAGGAAGAGGGGGGGAGGAATGACAGAAGTGAGGTAAAGGGGTGGGGCAGTTGTTGCGATGTAAAGGATTGTACATATACGAATATGTATGTGTATCTGCATATGCATAGGTCATGGATACACACCCAACACATGCCTCTCCCCGTACCTGTTCTGTAGCGGACCTAGCAGCAGCCATGGCCGCCAGGTGCTTGAGTCGACTCGCTATAAGCATACACAAAAAAAGGAATCTGTATGTGCACGGATTTTCTCCCCGTACCTGTTCTGTAGCAGACCGAGCAGCAGCCATGGCCGCCAGGTGCTTCTGCTCCAGCAGTGCAATGCGCTCCTCCACTCCAGATGACACCTCCCCCAGCACACCCTCCCCCTCCAGAACACCCTCCCCTAGTACACCCTCCTCAAGAGCAGGAGGCGTGTCAGCGGGAGGCGGGGCAGCGAGGGGCCATGCATGAGAGTGGTGGTCGTTGACAAACGAGTAGACTGAATCAAGGATGTGCGGCTGCTGCTGTGAAGGGAGGGGAACGGAGGGCAGGCGCGAAGGGGTGAGTAAGACAGGGAGTGATGGGGATGAGAGGGGGGTAATCAGGTGAAAGGGGCCACGTGTGGGCGTGGTGGTCGTTGACAAACGAGTAGACCGAATCAAGGATGTGTGGCTGCTGCTGTGAAGGGAGGGGAAAGGGTGGAGGGGGGTAACAACAACAGGAGTGAAGGGATGCAAATGCAGTGAGGGGCAATGAGAGGCGGCAGAGAGGGCCATGCATGGGGGGGGTGATCGTTGACGAATGAGTAGACTGAGTCGAGGATGTGTGGCTGCTGCTATGGGGGAGGGGAAGGGAGGGCATGTGGGAAGGAGTGAGTAGTAGGACGGGGAGTGCTTGGGATGAGAGGGAGAGGAGCAGCGAGGGGGCGTGAGAGAGAGTGAGGATGCCATACATATTTGAATAAAGAAGCCAGGAGGCAGGCAGGTACCTGGAAGGGCGTATCCAGGGGAGGCGCTATCTGCGAGTCCACCTCCCGTGGCTTGGGGGATGACGCCTGGCGAGATGCTGCCTTGGAGAGCGACTGGGAGATGGTCACATCAGCGGACACCCTGTGCTGCAGGGAGGTACGTACCTGGAAGGGCGTTTCCAGTGGAGGCGCCATCTGCGAGTCCACCACAGGAGGGAAGCTCGGCTGCACCTCCCGTGGCTTGGGGGATGACGCCTGGCGAGATGCCGCCTTGGAGAGCGACTGGGAGATGGTGACGTCAGCGGACACCCTGTGCTGGAGAGTCTCAGTGATGAGTCGCCTCTGCGCCTCCTCCCAGTCGTCCCTCGCCGTCTGCCCCCCGCCCTCCGCGCCCGCGCCCTGCTCGATGCGCCGCTGGTACTGCTCCTCTGCTAGCTCCGTCATCCTGTGTGCGCCCACCCCGTCCGCTGCTGACAGCACGAGACGAGCCTGGAAACAGCACAGGGGAGGGGGGGGGAGGCGGTGGGGGAAGGCCGGTGGGGATGTAAGGGGGAAGAGAGAGCATGGCTCGCCCTGCTCGATGCGCCGCTGGTACTGCTCCTCTGCTAGCTCCGTCATCCTGTGTGCGCCCACCCCGTCCGCTGCTGACAGCACGAGACGAGCCTGGGCGAGGCAGGGAATAGGGGAGCGGGGAGGAGAGGCGGGAAATGGGGGAGTGGGTGGGTGGGGTGAGAGGATGAGGCATGGTGTATCGCCCGCGCCCTGCTCTATGCGGCGCTGGTACTGCTCCTCTGCGAGCTCTGTCATTCGGGCGCCCACCCCGTCCGCTGCCGACAGCACCAGGCGAGCCTGAGGAGGGAAGCAAGGGGAAAGGGGAGGAGCGTAGAGAATGGTGCAAGGAGAAGAGGCTACAAGTGTCGTGGCTAATGCGCCGCTGGTACTGCTCCTCCGCCAGCTCCGACGCTCATCAGCACCCGTTTTCCGTCCACTCACTTCCCCTCACCTGGCACTGGCACTAGCACCAGCAGTAGCAGTCGCGCCCATTCCCCACCTCACCTGCTCCCACGCTTCGTGCGACAGGTCAGCGGATGGGAACAATCATGGCCTTGTTCCGTTCACCCATTTCCCCTCACCCAGCACTGGCACTAGCACTAGCAGTAGAAGTAGCGTCCATTCCCCACCTCACCTGCTCCCACGCTTCGTGCGACGGGTCCGCAGACGGAACGCTGTCGACAACCTTGGCCTTGTGCCGTTACCCCTCCACTTCACTACCCTCTCATCAGCACAGCACTCGCACTAGCCCACGTTTCCCCTTCACCCATTCCTTCTCACCTGCTCCCATGCCTCGTGCGAGGGGTCCGCGGATGGCACGCTGTCAACAATCATGGCCTTGGCCTCGCTCCATGCTAGGCCCTGGAAGAACGTCAGGTAGCTGGGAGGGGGGAAGAGACGAGGGATGTTGGCGGGGGATTAGATAGGGGTGGGGGGAAAGAGGAGTGTGAGCACTACAGTCTACAAGAATATAGGCCTCAGCCGGCTTAAAATAAGAGCAGCACCGCATTCAACCGAGCACGACCAGCAGGCTGCAATGTCATTGGAGCACTTAACCACATTCTCCCCAGCTATACTGCACGCAACCTAACCTAGCAAAGCAGCACCACACTTAACCACGCAGCACCGCATGTACTCACCCGAGCACGACCAGCGGGCTGCAGTTCTTCCCTGTAGCGCATGCCACATGGACCCTGTGACCAGTCACCAGCAGCGACGCAAGGAGACGCACCGCCTCCACCATCCCAGCAACCTGTGATTCAGACGAGCAACAGGAGGAAGAAGACAAAAAAAAAGTCAATGTTGTGACGCAAGAATTCAATTAAACCCGGAGTATCAAGTTCCCCTAAATTGCCTCAACCTTCCTACCTTTGGTTGGGTCATCAGGTCCAACCAAGCTTCCTACCTTTGAAACCTGTGGACCTCGGGTTTTAACATGTTTTGTCACTGCATCTCTGTTGTAGATAAGGAGTGTGCGTTATTTCATTTCGTCAATCCCTTAGCGTAATGTTTCAAAAGGACGCGCGATTCTTTGAAAGAAACGTGGCGTTCTTTTCTCGCGTTGGGCAAACCCACCTGCTTCTGCTGGTCGAATTCCGGCACGGGAACGCGGAACATGGCTACATCGCACTGCTCTGCCTGCTCCTGAACGGCCTTCCAGTTAACTCCGAACGACTCCAAGGACTCCTCGCCCTGCCATGGATGGGTGGAAAGAGAGAGGAGAGGGACGGAAAACAGCTGGTTGAAAGGTGCCGAAATTAAGGAACATGACTACGTCGCACTGCTCTGCCTGCTCCTGAATGGCCTTCCATTCCAGCCAACCCCGAACGACTCCTCGCTCTGCCACGTACGGACGGGAGAAGAGCGAGAGGAGAGAGAAGAGAGAGACGGAAGACTTCTGGTTGAGTGGAGTGGACTCGAATGAAGAAGCATGGCGAAACGCGCATTTCCGTTCGCTAATAAACCGCAAACCAGTCAACTCCGAGAGTGGCTCCATAGACTCCTCGCCGAGCCTTGGATGGGGAAAAGAAGGACGAATGCGGAGTCGAATTCAAAGGAATGCGGAGCACGGCGACATGTTGGAGAAGGAGCACGGCCGACATTGTCAATTCACTTCGACAAAAGAAAAAGAGAGAAAGAAAACCATGACGAAATTGTTTCGTCCTGCTTGTTCCTGAACAGAATCACTTCTGAGAAACCTCAAAAGTGGTTTCAACAGCTTCTTCTAACGCCGGACGAATCTATTGTTAGTATCCGTGTGAAGTCGTCCCATGCTAGGGCGCCTTAGTGCGCGTCGTTTTGCCAGCTCCTGAACACATGCCACTGCACGCTGAAAGCCTCTACTGATTATGAGCCTTGAGAGGCTGCAGACGCCAAGATTGCTTCCAAGAAATGAGCGGTCGGTTCATGCGTTTCCAAGATTGCTGCGGCTGCGGGCAATCCACTACCGACCGACTACTCTCGATTGCTTGGAAAGCCAATCCCAAGGTCGAAAACGAATGATGAAATGAAGGTCGACAATACGCGTGAGAAAAGTACAGTTCGCATACCAAACAAAAAGCAAAAGCATACATAAAGAAAAAGAATGCAAGTGAAGTGAAGCATCGGGACGCTGTTGTCGCACATGCTCAAGAAAATCAGGGTTTGGATTCTTAGAAAACTGCAACAATTCCGTTTTGCAACCACCCGTGTAACACACATCTGTAACCATACAGAAATAACCACAGCATACAAGTAATCGGTGTTCCTGCGAACCTACCCCCGCTACAGTCACACACCTGCAAGCATAGAATGGCGGTGCAAGTTGTCGCCTGAGTCAGCATCGTGACGTCCTCGGGCCCGGCAATTCCGGAGCCCACCGATACGCCAGTCGCGAGCGTGATGTGCGTCCACGTCAGCGGCCAGTCAGCCTGCATGCACACCACATCCTCGTCAATAGGACCTGCAGGAACCGAGGGAGGAAGGAGAGGGGAAAAAGGAGAGGGAAGAGAGGAATGGGGACGTGAGGGGGGGGGGGGGGGGGGGGGAGAGGAGGGGGGGAGGGGGAGGAGGGAACCGTGTGGGGCGGAGAGAAAGCGAGGGGGAAGTAAGGGCGACGCGGAACGGAGGCTCCGCCTAAATGCACAGCACCTTTTACAAAAAAAAAAACGGAAAGAGAGCGGGGGTGGGGGTGGGGGGGGGGGGGGGGGGGGAGGGGGAGAAGAGAGGAATGCGAGAGAAGAGGGGTGCGGGGAGCAGGGAAGTGGGACCGCGGGTGTGAAAGCAAATGTGGGAATAGGGAAAGAGGCAGCCCGGATAAGAGAATACAGAAAAAATCGAATGCGGTAATCGGTGAGGGTGAGGGTGAGAGAGGGTGGAGGTGCGGGTTCAAGGGAAAAGGGAAGGGGGAAAGAAAGGGCGGAAGAGAGGAAAGGGGAGAGAGCGGGTGGGAGATGGGGAAGGGGGGCGATACGGGGATTTGCGTATGTACAGTCTCATGTCTCTCCTCTGCGCACCCCATTCACGTCCACGGACCTCCATTCCCCCAACCTTCTCCCTTCCCCCACCCTTCCTTTTCCATACGTACCTCCCCCCTTCAAACCCTGAATTGGCGAACTCCGCCTGGCGTACCTTCCGACTTATAAATATCACGAATCGGCGTGCTTGCTTTCAGCACGCGCGGCTTCATCCCCCCGGCGGTCGCGCGCATTATCCCCCTTGCATCCCCTCCCGCAAGCTCCTCTTCCGCGTGCGCGCAGGAGTGAATGTGCTGTAGCATTCGCACTTGGTCCACCATCACACTGTTCTCCGCCGAAAATGTGAACTTGTGAGGATTCGAACCCTCGTCTCCAGAACCCGAAGAATCGCCACTTGACCCAACAAAGTCCCAATTATCGGGTTTTTCTTCCGCCTGCTGCTCCACCGCCAAATTCTCGCTGCGCGCCGAGCCCCTCTGCCCGCGCCTCCACCGGAGCCCGTCCGGTCCGCGCGAATTCTCCCCCTCCCCTTCACTCAGCTCGCCGGGAGAAGGACACCCAGGCACTAACACATCGCATTTAAGGCCGTCTCCGCGGCCGCGCCTCCCCGACCGCGACGGTACGAGCACGCTAGGAACGTGCCGCCTGTGTGGCCGCGTGAACGGTGCGCGCATGTAAACGATCCGCGAGCGCGGGCAGAGAAAGCCGGCGCCGCGTCGTTGGCTGTGGTGGTGGTGCGCCTTCGGCACGGCGGACGACACGTAAGCTGAAGCCGCGAGGGAGGAGTTAGCGGTGGAAGCGGTAGAAATGGCGGTCGCGTGTGTACGCGCTTGTGCCTTCCATGCTGGTGTTACGCTGGCCTCCATTGGCACGAACGATTAGCTTTAGTAAATAATGTTGCTTATTATGTGTTTCACCGTAAACCTTAGGTCGCGCCTAGGGTTGTTGGGTTGACGGGTTCGCAACAACTCGAAGCGGAGCTAAGCTTGTAGTGGAGGGACGGAAAGAAACACAGCCGAGTTGCTTGTTAGTGCCTGAATGTCCTCTTATCACCTTTCCCGCCAACCCTTTCACTGAGTTTTTAGTGAGGGAATGAATGCACGAATATTTCGTCAACCTACGTAGTTTCATCAACGAGCATCTCTAGAGTGCAGCAGCAGCAGCAGCCACACGAAACCCTAGTCCGTCATGAGCAGGCGGGTGGGAGTCCAGCGCGATTCATGCCAACCCAGCCAACACACAGCAACTATTTCATTGACCGACCCGCGGTCTACGGTGGTACTGACAGTTACAAGACGGTTTGAGAGGGTTTATGGTAGGGCGCTTCGACTTCACCAATGTTTCCCGTCACGCGGCTTGAATAAAGTCCACATTGCTGGCCACTTTCATTCCCTTACCTGCGGAGATTTGACGTGGCTGAAGTGGCGGTCTCGTCACCACAAATAGAAATCCACGATTTGTCCAAGTGCAGGACCAGAAACCTGCCCAACGGACACCCCACAGCCCAGACGCCGGAGTCAAAATTGCTTCCAACCACTGTTTTCAAGCCACCAGTTCTTGCTGACGAGGATTGAGCAGAAAAGCGATGTCCGCGACTCGAGAGCGGATATGGACTGTACCACTTTGCTGTGAACGAGAACTGTTTCGGATCAGAATTTGCCGCGCCACCTCACATTTCCAGCCACTCTACTGGAGTTGCGAAAGAACAGCAGGGAATTGTGGTGTAAACAGTCTAGTTACATCTCTGAGATGTTGTTCGCTTATAATAATTTAGCAAGACATGAAGCGAAACACTCCCAAAGAAATGCCACTTTGTGCAGCTTGAATGAGCAGTTCCAAGCAAGTTTTTTTTCCAAGCAAGTTTTATAATCATATTCATTTACAGCCCTTTTATCACCTTTCTCTGCGCAACAATCTGTGGCCAGTTGAGTCTCCAAAGTACAGCCTAAAACCTTTTCCAACACACTTGTAGTGTCAGTTTAGCCTTCCCTAAACTAACATAAATGCAGGCCTGAAATTTTTTCTCTTCATCATCTTCCTCAGGGCAAACTTCTGTTGCCGCTTCAACTCCAGCCGCAGCTCATTCTTCTTGCGATTCCACTTCCCCTCCTCCACCTCCGACTTGAGGAAGCTTCCTCCCATGTCCATCAGAAGCTTCTCCATATCACCTGCCCCTCTCGCTTCCTCCAAAGCCAACAGGTCAGGAATACCTCCCCCGGATGAGCCTCCTCCCTCCCCCTCTCCTGCACCCCCATCCAACCCTCCTCCCCTTCCACCCATTCCCCTCCCCCTCCCAAACAACCCTCCTCTCCCCCCTCTCCATCCTCTTCCCCCACCGTCCCCTCTCCCCGCAATCCCACCACCAGCAGCAGCACCAAGACAAACCCCAGCAGCACCAGCACCATTGAAGCCAGTTGTTACAGTTGTTACAGGCGCTACCAGCTCTGCCCCAAACAACGACCCCCCTTCCCTCCTCCCACCCCCTCCCGCCTCCGTCTCCCGTCTCCCTCCGTCCTGCTGTCCCTCTCCACCTCGAGGCACCTCCCCCTTCCCATCCTCCCCACCTCCACCTTCCTTCGTCCCACCTCCCTCCTCCTGTGCCTCACCGCTCTTCAGTTCACCCAGAACCGGTTTGAGGGAGAAGGAGAGTTTGCCATCAGCACTGGTGAGCGATTTCCATGTGAACTTTTGCACCCACGCACTGCCCACTTGCTCCTGCCTCTCCGCCAAACCCCCACTCGCTGCTGCTGTTGCTGCTGCTGCTGCATCGGCAGCAGCCCCACCAGCACTAGCAGCAGCAACACCAGTGCCACCACCACCACCAACAGCAGCAGCACTGCCAGCACCATCACTAGCTGGCGTTGCTTCCAGCCCTTCTGTCTTCTGGCGCTTTCCTCCTTTTCCTTCCACACTAGGACCCTCCAAAGACCCTTTCCTCTTCCCTCCCGCACCGCTGCTGCCACCATCCTTCACAGAGCCCTTCCTCACATCGCCCTTGCCAGCAGCCCCCTCCTTCCCAGCACCAACCCCCTTCTCAGCAACACCCCCCTCCCCAGCAGCTAAAGCGAACAGACTGTCCCAAGAAGGCACTGCAGCCCCCTTACTAGGGCGCCTTTCACTCCCATCGCCTTCCCCTTCAATCCTGTCCGCGTCTTCTTCGTCTTCTTCCTCCTCCTCCTCATCCTCCCCCTCCTCTTCCTCCTCCTCCTCCTCCTCCTCCTCCTCCTCCTCCTCCTCCTCCTCCTCCTCCTCCTCCTCCTCCTCCTCCTCCTCCTCCACCTCCTCCTCCCCCTCCTCCTCCCCCTCCTCCTCCCACACTCCCTTGTCATCCTCCTCTGCTGCCTCCTCTTCCTCCCCTTCTTCCTCATTGTCCTCCTCATCCTCCTCATTCCTCTCACCTTCCTCCTCCTCCCCTTCATCTACTCCCTCATCCTCACTCCCTTCTCCACCCTCGTTTACCTCCCCCTCCTCTTCTACCTCCCCCTCCTCTTCTCCCTCCCCCTCCTCTTCTCCCTCCCCCTCCTCTTCTACCTCCCCCTCCTCTTCTCCCTCCCCCTCCTCTTCTCCCTCCCCCTCCTCTATCCCCTCGCCCTCCCCTTCCCCCTCGCCCTCCTCCTCTCCCTCGCCTTCCTCCTGTCCCTCAACCCCATCCCCCTCCGTTTCCATCTCCTCCTCCTCTCGCTCCTCTCCCACTTTCAGTACCTTTATGCCCGTCACTTCCCTCTTCTCCACTTCACCTCCTTCCTCCTCACTTTCCTCACTCCTCTCCTCCAACTCATCCTTTTCCAAATTATCTTCTTCCATTCTCTCAAATCCTCCCTCCAATTTTGACCTTCCCCAGATTTTCTGCCATCTCTCATTCCCGACTTCCCCATTTCCCTCCTCTACACCTCCTTCTTCCTCTTCCTCCCCTTCCACTCCCTCCTCCTCCTCCCCTTCCTCCCCTTCCACTCCCTCCTCCTCCTCCTCCTCCTCCTCCTCCTCCTCCTCCTCCTCCTCCTCCTCCTCCTCCTCCTCCTCCTCCTCCTCCTCCTCCTCCTCCTCCTCCTCCTCCTCCTCCTCCTCCTCCTCCACATCACACGAAGCAACAGCAAACAGCCTGTCCCATCGCGACCCCCCCTCCCCTGTCTTCCCAACTTGTTCCTTCTTCTCACTCCCCACCACTTTCTCCCCAAACGCCTTCCCTTTCACCACCACCTCTTTTACACCTTTCTCCCTACCCACTTTCTCTTCTACCCCTTTCATCCCTGCTATTTTCTGCCCCCGCTTACCCTCTGCTGCCCCATCCGTGCCCCCAACTAATACACCACTCACACCACCCACACCAGTTGCACCTCCTGTGCCTGCCACAGCCCTAGACCTCGTTTCCTGCACCGCCTTACTACTGATATTCTCATTCCCTTTGCTTCCTTTGCCTTCTTTGCTGCCTGTGCTGCCTTTGCTCGGCCCACTCCATGTCAGATTGATGTTCAACCCATCATCCTCCTCCTCTTCCTCCTCATCCTTTTCCTCTTCCTCTTCCTCTTCCTCTTCCGCTTCCCCCTCTTCCTCCTCATCCCCAACTCGCCCCTCGCTCATGACCACATCACCGTCTCCCCCCCCCATCTCACTCCCCTTCCGCCCACCACTCTCACTCCCATCCCTTCCCTCTGCACTCTTCTCTGCCCTATCACCCTTTCTCCCCGCATCGCCCATCCCTCCCCCCTCCACCTTCCCCTCCTCCGCCTCCGCCCCTCCCCCTTCCATAATCAGGAACCGTTGCAGCAGTCGCCTCTGCATCTCCCTTTCTCTCTCCAACCCCTCATCCTCCTCCCCCCCCTCCTTCCCCTCCTCATGCTCCTCCCACTGCTGCTGCTCCCTAAACCCAGCATACCCTTCAGCACCCTCCCCTCCTCCACCCTTCCTTCTCTCTTGCCCTCCCCCCACAGCAGCAGCAGCAGCAGCAGCAGCAGAAGCAACACCAGCACGAGCACCAACCGCAGCAGCAGAAGCACGAGCAGCACCACCATCACCATCCTCACCATCACCATCACCACCATCACCATCCTCATCAGGAGCAGCAGCAGCAACAGCGGTGGCAGCAGCGGCGCGGGCAAGAACGGCGGAGAGGGAGGGCTCGAATGCAAGCCGCTGGAAGCTCAGCTTGTGCCGCCCACACCCCGGCCCGCCCGCTGCCGGCATGCGCCGCGTCTGAGGAGGGGGGGAAACAGAGGGGTTCAGAGGGGTTGAGAGGGGTTGAGAGGGATTGAGAGGGGTTGACAAGGAGATGTTGACAGCCTTATCAAGCTGTCTCAGAAAGCAGGTGGAAGCTCAGCTTGTGCCGCCCACACCCCGGCCCAATTTGCTGGCATGCGCTGCATCTGAGGGGGATTTAAAGAGAGAGGGGATTGAGAGAGAGAGGGGATTGAGAGAGAGAGGGGATTGAGAGAGAGAGAGGGGATTGAGAGAGAGAGGGGATTGAGAGAGAGAGGGGATTGAGAGAGAGAGGGGATTGAGAGAGAGAGAGGGGATTGAGAGAGAGAGAGGGGATTGAGAGAGAGGGGATTTAGAGAGAGAGGGGTTTTGAGAGTCTCAACAGGGCTTAAACACCCACGGGGCGAGACAGTGAGTGAGTGGGGGAGAAAGGGGCGAATGAGGGGCAAGACTGACAGAGCCAGTTACCTTCTTGCCTCCGCGCCATGCCAGGTTCATGGGCTCCAGCTCCCGTGTCTTGAGTGCACGGGATCATGGCTTCATGGGCGGCTACCTCCTCTGGGCTCAAGGGTGAATTGAGAATGAGGGGTTGAGGGAGTGAGGGGTGAGGGAGTGAGGGAGTGAGGGAGTGAGGGAGACAAGAAGGCAGGCACGTACCTTCTTCCCTCCGCGCCAAGCCAGGTTCATCGGCTCTAGCTTCCGTGCCTTCAATGCAGCTACCTCCACCGGGCTCAAACACCCACTGGCAGAGGCCTGCATAACCCGGTTACCACCACCGCTTCGCTCCGCCTCCGCCCTCGCCCTCGCTTCTGCCTCCTCCTCGGCCTCCTGTCTCTCCCTCTCGCTCCGCTCCTTGGCGTTGTGCTCGAGAAAACTCTCCCTTGCTGCTTCCACGCGCATCCTTCCCCCCTTCCACATGCACCCGTTGTACTGTGCGGGTAGGGGGAAAGAAAGGCGGGGGAGGTAAAGGGAGGGAGGGTTTGAATTGAAGTGCAGGTTCGGACTCAAGGGGCCTCTCCTCGGCCTCCTCCCTCTCTCCCTCTCCCTCTCGCTCCGCTCCTTGGCGTTCTGCTCGAGAAAAATCTTCCTTGCTGCTTCCACGCGCATCCTTCCCCCCTTCCACATGCACCCGTTGTACTGCGGGAGTGGGGGAATGGAGAGAAGTGAAAACAAGAGGAGGGGCATACGGACTTCGTGCTCGAGAAAACATGTGTAGATAGGTTATTTTTGAGCCGTCTCAAAAGTATACGGACTTCCTGCTCGAGAAAAATCTCCTTTGTTGCTTCCTACGTTTTTTGGGAATTCTCAAAAAAACATACGGCGCATCCGCCCCAACTATCCCATGCGCCCGTTGTACTGGGGGGGTTTCGGAAGGGTTGGGGAAAAAGGAAAAAGGAGGCGGGTTATGGGGTTTTCCCGCGGCTTCCTCCCTTCCATTTGCAAACATTGTACGGCTCGGGGCCGGCGGTAAGTGGGGGAGGGGGTGGGGGGAAGAGAGGTTGAGGGGGGAAGAGAGTGCGGGTTGGGGGAGAATAAAAGGTGGACGGCAAAGCGCATAAGGGGATGGATGAGTGACTATATGCGGTAACGGATCGGTGATAACGCGTACAATATATGACGAGAGACCCACCAGCGACAAGCATTGGTGCAAGGCCTTGGCGGACTTGGGAACCATGTCCAGGTAAGCAAAGCCACGGCACACTGCCACGTGGCTGCACTGCCGATCGGCTTCATCTCCGTTCGCCTCTTGAAATGGACGGCCAGGATCTGTTTGCTGCGAGGGAGGCGCCGCGAAGGACGCGGGGAGCAATTGGTGCGACTTGGCAAGAATCACGTTGACTTCGTTGACCTGCCCGAACGGCTGGAATCTTCCTCGAACTTCATCTTCTGAGACGTTCCCGGGCAGCCCGCCGACAAATAATCTCACGCGGACGGGCAATGCGTCGCGTTCAGGCGGAACCGTTTCCATACGGGCAGCTAATGAGTCCTTTCTAAGCGCTTCATTACCAGAAGGAGTTGCGTCTGAACTAGCACGTGACGTATTTTCGCGTGACGAAGACGCGAATATCGGCATCGCCGGAACTATGCTAGCTTGAAAATAACTCTAGAGGCGTCTCAATAAACGGTACTACTGCGATTCGGAATGCTTGGAGAGGTTTAGGGGAAATCTTATAAAACCTCTGGGGGTTGGGTGTTGGATGTCGGGTAAGGCTCAGCGCTTTCTCGTTCCCGCACCTTTCCGGTATAAGGTACAGTTCATTATTGTAAACCGCGACCTAAATATTTACTGACTCGGCTCTGGTCACCTCGTTAGGCGAGCTGTAACCTGACTCATCGCCTACTTCGCCAAACTAACTCGCCACACCAGAGCCACAAGATGCTGCCTGTAAGAGCGTGGAAGATCCCTGTGAACAAGGCATTGGTCGCGCAGTTGCGACAGTAACACATGTTGCGACTCTCTCTCAATTTGCTCCGAGTGTTTGACGAACTCAGAGCTCTTCGCTTGAGAGCGCGACCAAGGCCCCTTCCGAAACCTTAAGGCCTCTCTGATTTGCAATGTGGAGTTTCACGTGTTACCCGGCGAAAGATGTCGCAAGCCATTGACGAGGCCAGATGTTCGACCACAGGAGCAACCAAACACATGTTCGTAGCGATCTTCCACGCCCTAATTCCTAGGAGCCAGCAGACAATTCCCAAGAATACCTGCCACTCTTCTCGATCTCGAACATATCACATTACGCTCACAGCTGAGTAGTTCATGGCGGTTGTCGGTTTTGGAAAGCAGTGATTGTAAATTGGGAGAGCTGTGATTGTAGAATTTCGCTATGCCGCGTAGCTAGGCCAGTCCGCGTTCACGGGTCAGTAGGGTGTGAACTTGAAGTCTGGTGTCTCAATAAGGATGTTATTTGGTCGGGTATGTCCTTTAATTCGACTGAGAAACCACCACTGGAACGCCCGTGCGTATCGTAGCGGCAGGAGCCTCGGATCATTTATCCGATCCAGCGCCAGAGAAGCCGCTTGTTATCTTTAGAAGATAAGTACAGCTACAGAAGGTTTTGCAACGCACGGCGGTATGTTACAGACGAGGATGTACAGCCTTCGCGATTTGCGGACAGCAGTCTGGTTCCGTCCGTCAACACATCGTAAAAAACACGGCAATTCCTTCTTACCATTCCACAGCCGTTCCATCAGCCCGATCCTCCTCTCCCTCTCCCTCCTCTTCTCCGTCACTCTCTCCCCTTCCCGTCTCGCGTTAGGAGAATCAAATCTGCAAACGGCTTCGGACAGCAGCAGCAGCAGCAGCAGCACCACCACCACCACCACAACCGGCACCACCAGCAGCGGCAGCAGCAGGGGGGAAAACCATGACAGCATGCTGCTCCTGGGACGAGTGAACCAATTCGAGAAGGAGCTTACCGTTCAGCTGCATCAGAGCACCACCACGGATCCGATCAAACCTACGGACCAAAAGTCAACCAAGTCAACTCAGTCAACCAAGTCAACCCAGTCAACGGAGCAGAGCAGTTTGAAAGCAAAGACCAGCCCTAAACGGAAACCGCGTCCGATTATAATGAGTAAAACCGGCGTAGAGCTAAACAATCCCAACCTCCCAATCCCGGTCATTCCAGAAGGTTCACCCCTTCTCCCCTCCTTCCCAGACGCCATACTCGATACAACCACTCTCAATACAAGCATAACCCGAAGCCACTTAGCCAACGCGTTTCTAGAATACTTCAAATTTCACATCCCTGAAAAGGAGGTCCGGCTGCAGTGCACCGGCGGATCCTGTCCGAACCTCGCTCCCTGCGGCCCGACGTTCCCAAACCTGCGAGCCTGCCACCGAACCGACATAGTGGCGCCGATCCACATCGACCCCGGACCTCCGGAGAACTGTCCGAAGCTGGAGAATTGGGACGAGGTTGGGGCAAATGGCGCAGATTTGAGATGTTCGCAAGCGGGGGACTATGTGCGGCATGACAGGACACTGTTTCAGTATTTCGAGATGCGAGATGTGATGATGGATTGGAACGGCGTGGTGTTCAACAGCTCCATGCACTTTTTCCGCCATGGCTGCTTCTCAGATGCTGATGTGAGTCACGAACTGGGGTTACTAGCTCTCTCTTGCCTCTGGCCCCCTCCCCCGTCTTCACCAGCCCCCACCGCACACACTCGCCGTCAGCTCTCTCTTCTTCTGTGTCACTCCCTCCCTGTGTGTGTGCTCCACCAGATTGTTTTTGAGAATTCTCAAAAACACCCCACTGCACACACTCGCCGTCAGCTCTCCCTTGTTCTGTGTCACTCCCTGTGTGTGTGCTCCACCAGATTTAGTTATCCCATATGAGATTGGTCCGATGGGTGGGGGTACGGTGTGCATGCTACCCCTCTTTTCTGTGTCGCCTTCTCGCATCCCTTTCCTCACTGTCACATCCTTTCTGTGTGCCCCCACCCAGTTCACCTACCCCAGCGGCAACACCTCAGTGCAGCGCGTGGGGCGCATGGTGAGCATGCTGTACACGCCCGCCACCAGCTTCCCATCTTCCCTGTCCCCATCGCCCCCATCTCCCCCATCTCCCCTCCACATCCCCCATCTCCCCCATCCCACCCAGTTCACCTACCCCAGCGGCAACACCACGGTGCAGCGCGTGGGGCGCATGGTGAGCATGCTGTACACGCCCGCCACCAGCTTCTACCACTCCATCATCGAGTGGGTGCCGCAGTGGCTCGTGCTGAGAGAACTGTTGCAGGAGCACCCCAACATTCTCATTGTCATGCGCGCTGCTCAGGTGAGCGCGCTGCTCAGGTGAGCAGCTCAGGTGAGAGGAAGGGCGAGAAGTGGCATGAGAGCATGTATGACGCTATGGGCTAGTTAGAGCACAGATGTGAGGCAGTACACCAGCTTCTACCACTCCATCATCGAGTGGGTGCCGCAGTGGCTCGTGCTGAGGGAACTGCTGGAAGAACATCCCAACATCCTTATCGTGATGCGCGCTGCTCAGGTGAGAGCTGGTGTGGTGTGCATGAAGCACATATAGTTGCACAGAACCACAAGGGCTTCTTCTATCACTCCATCATCGAGTGGGTGCCGCAGTGACTCGTGCTGCGGGAGCTGCTGCAGGAGCACCCGAATATTCTCATTGTCATGCGCGCTGCTCAGGTGAGAGCAGAAGTGCAAGAATCGAGTCAGTAAGAACAGAGATGGTGAGGTGAGGTACCACAGCACCACAAGGGCTTCTATCACTCCATCATCGAGTGGGCGCCGCAGTGGCTCGTGCTAAGAGAGCTGCTGCAGGAGCATCCGAATGTACTCATTGTCAAGCGCGCCGCTCAGGTGAGAGCGTGATTGGACTCACAGGAGGAAGGACTAGAAAAAGTAAACACTCAGGTGCTGAGGGAGCTGCTGCAGGAGCATCCGAATATGCTCAATGTCATGCGCGCTGCTCAGGTGAGCGAGAGGGTATGATGAGTTGAGACAAAGCAGGAGTAAATATGCAGATGATGAGGTGAGGCATCACAAGACTAGTTTTGAGGCGCCTCAAAAGTAAATATGCAGATGATGAGGTGAGGCATCACAAGACTAGTTTTGAGGCGCCTCAAAAGTAAATATGCAGATGATGAGGTGAGGCATCACAAGACTAGTTTTGAGGCGCCTCAAAAGTAAATATGCAGATGATGAGGCATCACAAGACTAGCAATTCAGCAGATCACCATCACATAGCATCATAGCATAATAACCTCTCTGATTATGCAAGAAATACTTGATTTTGTGTGTGTCTGTGCGTGTGTGTGTGCATGTGTATCATGTCCCACCATACCACCCGTGCAGCTGCAGCTGTACAACAGCACGTTGAAGCACATAGTGGGAGTGGAGCCAGCGCACATGAACCTGCTCGTGCTTGATTGGCAGCACCGCAACACCCTCTTCCTTGCACAGGCGCTTTACCAGGTAGGAAGGGGTTTGCACTTTACCAGGTAACCAAGGGGGTCCCATCCCACGCATGCGGCTTCAACTGTACAACAGCACGTTGAAGCACATAGTGGGAGTGGAGCCAGCGCACATGAATCTGCTCGTGCTTGATTGGCAGCACCGCAACACCCTCTTCCTTGCACAGGCGCTCTATCAGGTGATAGGGGGTTAGTGCTCTCTACCAGGTAAGCAAGGGTCCCATGCATGTAGCTCCAACCAGCTGTACAACAGCACGTTGAAGCACATAGTGGGAGTGGAGCCAGCGCACATGAATCTGCTCGTGCTCGACTGGCAGCACCGCAACACCCTCTTCCTTACACAGGCGCTCTATCAGGTACGGAGGGGTTTGCGCTTCACCAGTAAACAAAGGCCATGGTTTCTACCAGGTATTAAAGGCCATGTTCTCACCTCTCTCCTTGCCGTCCTCTCCTGTTTCCCCTAACCCCTTGGTCCCTCTTGCTTCCTTTCCTTCCCCCCTTGCTTCCCCCCCTCCACCCTGTCAACCACTGCTGTGACCGGGCCACACCCACCATCTGGCACTTCCCATTTCGAAGCACCCCCATCCTCTCTCACGCCACCGTTCTCCTCCTTTTTGCTCCCCGCCCTCCAGCCTGCCTACCGCTGCTACAGTGTGGACCAGGCCTATCTACCCACTCTCTGGCGATTCCTGATTCGAAGCATCTTCCTTCCTCACCTTCCTCCTCTCTGTCCTCTCTCCCCTTCCTCCTCCCTTGTTCAATCCCTCCCCCAGCCTGTCTACCGCTGCTGCGGCCGGGCCACACCCACCATCTGGCGCTTCCTCCGCCGAAACTTTTTCCTTCCGCCCGATGGGCTGCCCATTTTCGAGCCCGAAACTTTCCGCCTCCGCCGAACCTCCCCTCTAAGCTACCAAGACATAACAGACTTACTTAGCCAGCGTGAGGAGCAGCAGTCACAACATCCCCGGCGGCTCGACGTGCTTAAGCCCGGACCTGTGCCGAGCCTTGCGGAGACGTTTGGGATGACGACGGGGCTGAACTGGGTGACGATCCTGGTTCGGAGGCCCGGAAATCTGTCGAGGAATTTGGAGGAGAGTGTGTATGAGAGGGTGGAGGGGTGGATGAGGAAGGAGTTTGGGGAGAGGCGAGTGGTGGTGTTTGATGGAAGTCTGCGTCTCATGGAAGGTGAGTGGTCTAGTGAGTAAGTGATTGTGTGGGTGAGTGAGTGAGAGTAAGTGAAGGTGTTTGATTTGATGCGAGTGGTGGTTTTTTAGGTATGGCTGCCTGCCATGGAAGGTGGTTTTTGGGGTGCAAGAGTGAGTGAGTGAATGAGTGGGGCTGTAGGTGCAGCAGTGGGGGACTGAGTGAGTGTAGGAATGGGTGAGTGAGGGAGTGTGTCGTGTTTAGAATGGGTGAGTGGGTTGGTGGGTGAGTCATGAAGAGAGTGCAGGAGTGGCTGAGACAGTGAGTGACCCTCGATGGAGTGAGTGAGTGAATGGATGCGTCGGTGAGCACTCATATACTGAGTAGAGCACTGTAATTCCCCCCGTGCCTCTCTTTTTCTCACTACCTGTTTTGTCAAGTACTACTAGATTATATGGTAGCATGCTAGACTTTTGTGACAAGCTACAAGTCAAGGGTCAGAGGATGAAGAAAGGTATGAGACAGGGGGCGTCGGTGGGACAAGGAAAAACGTGGTGGTTATCTGAGAAAAGCTTCAGGAGCTGGAAGAATACTTAATGAGCATGGAGGGAACATGTGCACGCATGAACGCGAGCGGCCGTGTGCCAAATCACCCCTTCCTCCATGCTGTACAATTAGCCCTTTCCCTTTTGTGCTGTAAATTAAAGAGGGGAGGGGTTGATTTTACAGCACTGAAGAAGAGGGGTTGATTATAGCGCAACGGAGAAGGGGATGTTTTGGCACCCTTTTATGCGTGCGCATGTTCCCTCCATGCTCATTTTGTACTTCAACTGCTTCTCCAACTCTTTCAGCTTCTCTCTGGTAACCACCACGTTTTCCCTTGCCCCACTGCTGCAGCGCGTGTTTTTTGAGAATTCTCAAAAAACCACCACGTTTTCCCTTGCCCCACTGCTGCAGCGCGTGTTTTTTGAGAATTCTCTGGTAACCACCACGTTTTCCCTTGCCCCACTGCTCCCACTGTCTCACCTCCACCACTGACGCCTCCTATTCTTTCACCTTTCTTCATCTTCTGACTCTCGTTTTGTCCTCTTGCCTCCTCCCTCGCCTCAGTATTTGACAACATGTGGTGTACAGTTGAATTGAGCATGTACCCGATTCGGGTGTATATTTGTGTTGGGGGCGCCAATCCCACCATTTTGTGATGGAGGCCCCAACACAAGCAATGTGTTAATTGGTGGTCATTCCACATCGGTCCCAACCTTGTGATTGGTGTACCCAAACACATTGTGGGACCGATTGTGGCTGACCATTCCACCATTTATTTGCCCCCAATCACCTTCCGCCCTTCCACCTCTCTCTTGCATCATATGCATACCCTTCTTTCCTCAATATAATCAACTTTTTGATTTCTAACAAGTACTAAGTACCTCCCCTTATTTTTCACACAAATCCGAAATTCTCCCCTCCATCTCTGCCCCCCCTCCATCTCTGCCCCCCCTCCATCTCTGCCCCCCATTCCCCCTTGTTGAAGCCCGGGCTCTCTTCCGCCGAGCCGCCCTATTGGTCGGCACGCACGGGGCCGCCCTGACCAACCTCCTCTTCATGCCACGTGGCGCCTTCCTACTGGAAATCCGCCCCCGGGGTTACCCCAACGCGTGTTACCACCACCTAGCCAGCGTGTCGCAGATGCACTATTGGCTGCTGCTGGGGAATGGGACAAAAGACTCCGCCCTGCAAGTGGACACAGGGGAGGTGTTATCTACGATAAGGGAAGTTGCTGGGAAGGTGTTTGCTGCTCTGAGGGGAGAGCCGAAAGACGTGGGGGAGAGATTGGGGGAGAGAGCAAAAGGGGGAGAGGAAGGGACGGAAAAGAAAACAAAGGAGGGGAGCATTGCAGGGGTAAAGATCGGAGGGAAAGAGATTGGCAGCAGTGGTGGTGCCGCTGGTACCTCTACTGCTGCTGTAACTGCAGCGGCTACTGCAGCGACTGCTGATAGCAGCAACACCACACCATCTGACGCCACTGGCACTGCTGCCACTACCCACCCCATCAGCACAGGCTCCTTTTCACCCACCTCTTCTGCCTCCGCCCCTCTTATTACTTCCCCCACCCCCATCCCCACCCCCATCCCCACCTCCCTCCCCACTTCCCTCCCCACTGACACCACCACTCCCTCCGCCTCCGCCTCTCTCACCCCCATCCCGCCCCTCCCTCCGCCCACCTTCCCCGTCCCCCTCTCCACCTCCCCCTCCGCGCTCCCCGCCGCCTTCCCCTCGGGCTGCGCGTGCTACCGGCTGCGCAACGCCTTCTGCTGCACCCAGGCCGTCTGCGTGTGCCGCAACGTCTGCTACAATGGGTCGGCGTTGCTCGGCAGATACGGACCCGATATCACAGACACCACCGATACCACTGATACCACCGACAGCACCAGCAGCACCAGCAGCACTGCTTTCCCCCCGCGCCCCCCCCACCCCTGCCTTCCCCCGGTCCATGCCCCCGCCACAGCCAACAAATCCGCGCTCCTCTCCCCGACGTCCTGCTCCAACCTGCCCCAGTTCGGCCGCATGCTGAGGTCGGCACTCTCAGAGGCGCCGGTGAAAGGCGGGCTGCAGGCAGCTGGGGATGCGCGGTGGCGGCGGTGGGTTGGGGGGGAGGCGGAGTGGCGCATGGGCGGGACCCTGTTTGTGCCTCTGACGCACCAGACGACGAATGTGGCGCACTTTCTAGGTGAGCGGCAAATAACTTTTCAATGTAGAAACCGCGTGGCGTGTAATGAGTCTGCTTTTGAGTCGACTCAAATGTGCCGCACTTTCTAGGTGAGCGGAGGAGAAAGACAAAAAACACGTTGGGGATGCAACTTGATTGGGTGGGATCTTGATTATGAAAGACGAGTCTTTTTCCATTCCATCCATTCCAGGCTCCTTTTTTCTCTGTCCCTCACACACACAGGCAAGGCGGCACACATCCTGCTCGTGAACAACGTGACAGTCAAAACAGGCCTGCCACATGTCAATCGATTCCTGCTGCCCCGTGCTCACATCCCCACCCTTCTGCCCCTCTCGTGCAGGCAAGGCGGCACACATCCTTCTCGTGAACAACTTGACGGTCAAGTCGGGCTTGCCACGTGTTGAACGCTTCCTGCTGCCCCGTGCTGATTGGACTGTGCACAGGTATTTTGACTTACCACTTCTTACTCTGCTTCTCTTATTCACTAGCACTCTGTCACACTTGCATTACTGTCCTTATAGCTCTCACTTCCTCTCCCTCACTCAACCACACACACACATGAATTCTTTCTCCCTGTTACCACACCTCTCACCGCCCTCTTTCCTAACCCACCTGATCTCCCAGAATGAAGGAGCACGGCCCACACGGCTGGCTGCCCTCAATGCTGCACCTCCTCCTCCATATGGCGCTCATGCTCCCTCAAAACTCACACCTCTCTCCTTCTCCCTCAAAACTCACACCTCTCTCCTTCTCCCTCAAAACTCACACCTCTCTCCTTCTCCCTCAAAACTCACACCTCTCTCCTTCTCCCTCAAAACTCACACCTCTCTCCTTCTCCCTCAAAACTCACACCTCTCTCCTTCTCCCTCAAAACTCACACCTCTCTCCTTCTCCCTCAAAACTCACACCTCTCTCCTTCTCCCTCAAAACTCACACCTCTCTCCTTCTCCCTCAAAACTCACACCTCTCTCCTTCTCCCTCAAAACTCACACCTCTCTCCTTCTCCCTCAAAACTCACACCTCTCTCCTTCTCCCTCAAAACTCACACCTCTCTCCTTCTCCCTCAAAACTCACACCTCTCTCCTTCTCCCTCAAAACTCACACCTCTCTCCTTCTCCCTCAAAACTCACACCTCTCTCCTTCTCCCTCAAAACTCACACCTCTCTCCTTCTCCCTCAAAACTCACACCTCTCTCCTTCTCCCTCAAAACTCACACCTCTCTCCTTCTCCCTCAAACTCACACCTCTCTCCTTCTCCCTCAAAACTCACACCTCTCTCCTTCTCCCTCAAAACTCACACCTCTCTCCTTCTCCCTCAAAACTCACACCTCTCTCCTTCTCCCTCAAAACTCACACCTCTCTCCTTCTCCCTCAAAACTCACACCTCTCTCCTTCTCCCTCAAAACTCACACCTCTCTCCTTCTCCCTCAAAACTCACACCTCTCTCCTTCTCCCTCAAAACTCACACCTCTCTCCTTCTCCCTCAAAACTCACACCTCTCTCCTTCTCCCTCAAAACTCACACCTCTCTCCTTCTCCCTCAAAACTCACACCTCTCTCCTTCTCCCTCAAAACTCACACCTCTCTCCTTCTCCCTCAAAACTCACACCTCTCTCCTTCTCCCTCAAAACTCACACCTCTCTCCTTCTCCCTCAAAACTCACACCTCTCTCCTTCTCCCTCAAAACTCACACCTCTCTCCTTCTCCCTCAAAACTCACACCTCTCTCCTTCTCCCTCAAAACTCACACCTCTCTCCTTCTCCCTCAAAACTCACACCTCTCTCCTTCTCCCTCAAAACTCACACCTCTCTCCTTCTCCCTCAAAACTCACACCTCTCTCCTTCTCCCTCAAAACTCACACCTCTCTCCTTCTCCCTCAACTCCCCTCTCCTTCCCTCAAAACTCACACCTCTCTCCTTCTCCCTCAAAACTCACACCTCTCTCCTTCTCCCTCAAAACTCACACCTCTCTCCTTCTCCCTCAAAACTCACACCTCTCTCCTTCTCCCTCAAAACTCACACCTCTCTCCTTCTCCCTCAAACTCACCCTCTCTCCTTTCTCCCTCAAATCTCACACCTCTCTCATTCTCCCTCAAAACTCAGCACCCTCTCTCCTTCTCCCTCAAACTCACACCTCTCTCCTTCTCCCTCAACAACTCACACCTCTCTCCTTCTCCCTCAAAACTCACGGACCGTCTCTCCTTCTCCCTCAAAACTCACACTCTCTCCTCTCCCCAAAAAACTCACACCTCTATCCTCTCCTCAAAAACTCGCTGAGAACATGTCCCAAGACCAGTCACCCTCGATGCTGCTCGCTGAGAACATGTCCCAAGACCAGTCACCCTCCATGCTGCTCGCTGAGAACATTCCCCAAGACCAGTCACCCTCCATGCTGCTCGCTGAGACTGTCCCAAGACCAGTCACCCTCCATGCTGCTCGCTGAGAACATGTCCCAAGACCAGTCACCCTCCATGCTGCTCGCTGAGAACATGTCCCAAGACCAGTCACCCTCCATGCTGCTCGCTGAGAACATGTCCTCAAGACCAGTCACCCTCCATGCTGCTCGCTGAGAACATGTCCCAAGACCAGTCACCCTCCATGCTGCTCGCTGAGAACATGTCCCAAGACCAGTCACCCTCCATGCTGCTCGCTGAGAACATGTCCCAAGACCAGTCACCCTCCATGCTGCTCGCTGAGAACATGTCCCAAGACCAGTCACCCTCCATGCTGCTCGCTGAGAACATGTCCCAAGACCAGTCACCCTCCATGCTGCTCGCTGAGAACATGTCCCAAGACCAGTCACCCTCCATGCTGCTCGCTGAGAACATGTCCCAAGACCAGTCACCCTCCATGCTGCTCGCTGAGAACATGTCCCAAGACCAGTCACCCTCCATGCTGCTCGCTGAGAACATGTCCCAAGACCAGTCACCCTCCATGCTGCTCGCTGAGAACATGTCCCAAGACCAGTCACCCTCCATGCTGCTCGCTGAGAACATGTCCCAAGACCAGTCACCCTCCATGCTGCTCGCTGAGAACATGTCCCAAGACCAGTCACCCTCCATGCTGCTCGCTGAGAACATGTCCCAAGACCAGTCACCCTCCATGCTGCTCGCTGAGAACATGTCCCAAGACCAGTCACCCTCCATGCTGCTCGCTGAGAACATGTCCCAAGACCAGTCACCCTCCATGCTGCTCGCTGAGAACATGTCCCAAGACCAGTCACCCTCCATGCTGCTCGCTGAGAGCATGTCCCAAGACCAGTCACCCTCCATGCTGCTCGCTGAGAACATGTCCCAAGACCAGTCACCCTCCATGCTGCTCGCTGAGAACATGTCCCAAGACCAGTCACCCTCCATGCTGCTCGCTGAGAACATGTCCCAAGACCAGTCACCCTCCATGCTGCTCGCTGAGAACATGTCCCAAGACCAGTCACCCTCCATGCTGCTCGCTGAGAACATGTCCCAAGACCAGTCACCCTCCATGCTGCTCGCTGAGAACATGTCCCAAGACCAGTCACCCTCCATGCTGCTCGCTGAGAACATGTCCCAAGACCAGTCACCCTCCATGCTGCTCGCTGAGAACATGTCCCAAGACCAGTCACCCTCCATGCTGCTCGCTGAGAACATGTCCCAAGACCAGTCACCCTCCATGCTGCTCGCTGAGAACATGTCCCAAGACCAGTCACCCTCCATGCTGCTCGCTGAGAACATGTCCCAAGACCAGTCACCCTCCATGCTGCTCGCTGAGAACATGTCCCAAGACCAGTCACCCTCCATGCTGCTCGCTGAGAACATGTCCCAAGACCAGTCACCCTCCATGCTGCTCGCTGAGAACATGTCCCAAGACCAGTCACCCTCCATGCTGCTCGCTGAGAACATGTCCCAAGACCAGTCACCCTCCATGCTGCTCGCTGAGAACATGTCCCAAGACCAGTCACCCTCCATGCTGCTCGCTGAGAACATGTCCCAAGACCAGTCACCCTCCATGCTGCTCGCTGAGAACATGTCCCAAGACCAGTCACCCTCCATGCTGCTCGCTGAGAACATGTCCCAAGACCAGTCACCCTCCATGCTGCTCGCGAGAAACATGTCCCAAGACCAGTCACCCTCCATGCTGCTCGCTGAGAACATGTCCCAAGACCAGTCACCCTCCATGCCTGCTCGGCTCTTGAGAACCTGTTCCCAAAGACCAGTCACCCTCCATGCTGCTCGTCTGAGAAACATGTCCCCCAGACCAGTCACCCTCCATGCTGCCGCTTTGAGAACATGTCCCAAGACCAGTCACCACTCCATGCTGCTCGCTCGGAGAACATGTCCCAAGACCAGTCACCCTCCATTGCTGCTCGCTCGAGAACATGTCCCAAGGACCAGTCACGCCTCCATGCGTGCTCGCTCGACGACATGTCCCAAGACCATGTCACCCTCCATGCTGCTCGCTGAGAACATGTCCCAAGACCAGTCACCCTCCATGCTGCTCGCTGAGAACATGTCCCAAGACCAGTCACCCTCCATGCTGCTCGCTGAGAACATGTCCAAGACCAGTCACCCTCCATGTGCTCGCTGAGAACACTGTCCCAAGACCAGTCACCCTCCATGCTGCTCGCTGAGAACATGTCCCAAGACCAGTCACCCTCCATGCTGCTCGCTGAGAACATGTCCCCAAGGACCAGGTCACCCTCCATGCTGCTCGCTGAGAACATGTCCCAAGGACCAGTCACCCCTCCATGCTGCTCGCTGAGAACATGTCCCAAGACCAGTCACCCTCCATGCTGCTCGCTGAGAACATGTCCCAAGGACCAGGTCACCCTCCATGCTGCTCGCTGAGAACATGTCCCAAGACCAGTCACCCTCCATGCTGCTCGCTGGAGAACATGTCCCAAGACCAGTCACCCTCCATGCTGCTCGCTGAGAACATGTCCCAAGACCAGTCACCCTCCATGCTGCTCGCTGAGAACATGTCCCAAGACCAGCACCCTCCATGCTGCTCGCTGAGAAGCATGTCCCAAGACCAGTCACCCTCCATGCTGCTCGCTGAGAACATGTCCCAAGACCAGTCACCCTCCATGCTGCTCGCTGAGAACATGTCCCAAGACCAGTCACCCTCCATGCTGCTCGCTGAGAAGCATGTCCCAAGACCAGTCACCCTCCATGCTGCTCGCTGAGAACATGTCCCAAGACCAGTCACCCTCCATGCTGCTCGCTGAGAACCATGGTCCCAAGACCAGTCACCCTCCATGCTGCTCGCTGAGAACATGTCCCAAGACCAGTCACCCTCCATGCTGCTCGCTGAGAACATGTCCCAAGACCAGTCACCCTCCATGCTGCTCGGAGAACATGTCCCAAGACCAGTCACCTCCATGCTGCTCGCTGAGAACATGTCCCAAGACCAGTCACCCTCCATGCTGCTCGCTGAGAACATGTCCCAAGACCAGTCACCCTCCATGCTGCTCGCTGAGAACATGTCCCAAGACCAGTCACCCTCCATGCTGCTCGCTGAGAAACATGTCCCAAGACCAGTCACCCTCCATGCTGCTCGCTGAGAACAGTCCCAAGACCAGTCACCCTCCATGCTGCTCGCTGAGAGAATGTCCCAAGACCAGTCACCCTCCATGCTGCTCGCTGAGAACATGTCCCTAAGACCAGTCACCCTCCATGCTGCTCGCTGAGAACATGTCCCAAGACCAGTCACCCTCCATGCTGCTCGCTGAGAACATGTCCCAAGACCAGTCCACCCTCACTGCTGCTCGCTGAGACAGTCCCAAGACCAGTCACCCTCCATGCTGGCTCGCTGAGAACATGTCCCAAGACCAGTCACCCTCCATGCTGCTCGCTGAGAACATGTCCCAAGACCAAGTCACCCTCCATGCTGCTCGCTGAGAACATGTCCCAAGACCAGTCACCCTCCATGCTGCTCGCTGAGAACATGTCCCAAGACCAGTCACCCTCCATGCTGCTCGCTGAGAACATGTCCAAGACCAGTCACCCTCCATGCTGCTCGCTGAGAACATGGTCCCAAGACCAGTCACCCTCCATGCTGCTCGCTGAGAACATGTCCCAAGACCAGTCACCCTCCATGCTGCTCGCTGAGAACATGTCCCAAGACCAGTCACCCTCCATGCTGCTCGCCTGAGAACATGTCCTCAAGAACCAGTCACCCTCCATGGGGTCCCAAACCCTCCATGCTGCTCGCCTGAGAACATGTGTCCCAAGGACCAGGTCACCCTCCAGCTGCTCGCCTGAGAACATAGTCCCAAGCACCAGTCACCCTCCATGCTTGCTCGCTGAGAACATCTGTCCCAAGACCAGTCACCCTCCATGCTGCTCGCTGAGAACCATGTCCCAAGACCAGTCACCCTCCATGCTGCTCGCTTGAGAACATGTCCCAAGACCAGTCACCCTCCATGCTGCTCGCTGAGAACATGTCCAAGTACCAGTCACCCTCCATGCTGGCTCGCTGAGAACATGTCCCAGGGACCAGTCACCCTCCATGCTGCTCGCTGAGAACATGTCCCAAGACCAGTCACCCTCCATGCTGCTCGCTGAGAACATGTCCCAAGACCAGTCACCCTCCATGCTGCTCGCTGAGAACATGTCCCAAGACCAGTCACCCTCCATGCTGCTCGCTGAGAACATGTCCCAAGACCAGTCACCCTCCATGCTGCTCGCTGAGAACATGTCCCCAAGACCAGTCACCCTCCATGCTGCTCGCTGAGAACCTGTCCCAAGACAGTCACCCTCCATGCTGCTAGCATGGAGAACATGTCCCAAGCCCAGTCACCCCTCCATGCTGCTCGCTGAGAACATGTCCCAAGACCAGTCACCCTCCATGCTGCTCGCTGAGAACATGTCCCAAGACCAGTCACCCTCCATGCTGCTCGCTGAGAACATGTCCCAAGACCGAGTCACCCTCCATGCTGCTCGCTGAGAACATGTCCCAAGACCAGTCACCCTCCATGCTGCTCGCTAGAGAACATGTCCCAAGACCAGTCACCCCTCCATGCTGCTCGCTAGAGAACATTGTCCCAAGACCAGTCACCCTCCATGCTGCTCGCTGAGAACATGTCCCAAGACCAGTCACCCTCCATGCTGCTCGCTGAGAACATGTCCCAAGACCAGTCACCCTCCATGCTGCTCGCTGAGAACATGTCCCAAGACCAGTCACCCTCCATGCTGCTCGCTGAGAACATGTCCCAAGACCAGTCACCCTCCATGCTGCTCGCTGAGAACATGTCCCAAGACCAGTCACCCTCCATGCTGCTCGCTGAGAACATGTCCCAA